GGGGAGCCTCATTCTTTGAGTCCATTCTGCCTTCAGATCCCAGGCTATAGCTAAAAACAGTTCACGGCCTGCCAGCTGGCTGTCAGTGCCAGAGCATTTCTCTTGGGTAACGTCCTACTCTAGGATAGTTTGGGAATGACTGAGGAATTACTTTGGTAACAATATTTGCATGGTCGTGGTGGAGATCAGCACTGCAATTGTATAATAAAACTTTTCTCCTCTTAGACCAGCAACGCCCATCCAAGTCAGGGTATCTGCAGATCCTATCCTCTATGCCAGACTGAAGAGAAAAGCAACTATCTGCCTTTCAGACTACCAAAATTTAATACACATATCTATACTATATCAAATACGTGTATAAACACACACTAAGCTGCTAAATCCTTAGAGGGAAAGGAGCAAATATACATTGAGCTCTATGTTTCAGAAACCACAAGGTAACAGCGATTTCCTTTAATCCCCACAAACACCCAAACATAGGTATTATTATACTTATTTTTATAGATGAGAACACTGTAGCTCAAATACATTAATTTGCCCAAAGTCACAAACCTAATAAGTAGCAGTGTCAAGACATGAACTTAATTAAGCCCATACTGCTGCTGCTTCTTCTCAATGGTGTTAACTATGGCAACCTGCTAGTGTCTTCATTTCACCTTAATTCCAGACATGGTACTTAACTGTGTGTCCTAGCTGTGTTTCCATACATTCACAGAGAGACAGAGAAAAATTTCCCAGAAGACTTCCTGCTTGTCTCTCCTTTTCCTGCATTTATTTCCTATTCCTAAAAATTATTGTTTTAGGTTGAATTACCAGGTTAGACCTAAAAGCCTGTCATACCACATTTCAGCAATTAATATACACCTACAGTGTGACAGTTCTGTTTCCTTCCTTGTACACTTTAATAGCCATAGTTTCATTTAGGGACTTAAACACTAGATGGTTATATTTAATTTACCTATTTTCTTAATCATTTTTAAATTTTCAAAAAAATTATCTTTAATGTGAAAGAATTCATTCTTAGAATTGGCCTGTAAAGTCTCTTGATTTAAATATGGCAAGATAACTAGAGGAATAAAGAAATCTTTCCTTAATTATCAAATCAACAAATATTCTCCCTCTGTACCTACTGTGTGTGAGGCATTATTCTATGCACTAACATATTTTTTTAAAGATTTTATTTACTTATCTGACAGAGAGATCACAAGTAGGCAGAGAGGCAGGCAGAGAGAGGAGGAAGCAGGCTCCCCGCTGAGCAGAGAGCCCGATGTGGGGCTCGATCCCAGGACCCTGGGATCATGACCCGAGCCGAAGGCAGAGGCTTTAACCCACTGAGCCACCCAGGCGCCCCATGTTCTATGCACTAACATATTTTAAGTGGCAAGAACCAGCTTAGAAAATGATACCATGCTCAGAAACTCAGAATAATAGTATTTTTAAACCCAGGCTTTTAGACTCTTAAGTGCATAGTCTAAATACTATTACTCTGAATAACATTTGCAAGTGCTTCTTGCCCTCCTATAAAAAAAAAGACTGAAAATATACAATAAAACATTGACAACTATTTTGCTTAGGATAGTTAAAACTAAGGATGACCTTTTCCTGTTTTTTTTTACATATATTAAAATTTTTCTGTAATAAGAATGTGTTATTTTCATAATTACGGGAACTAATCGCACTCTGGATAAACTTTGCATCTTTAACACTTTCTATACAATGTGGGGTTATTTTTTCCTTTGTCAGATATAATTGATGAAATTATGTATTCATTAATTCATGCCTATGCCTCTAGAACTTGTTACATAACATCAGCACATTAAAGATAATTATTTTTCTCTCCATTCATGGAATGTTTTTCTTGCTTTAGGTGGATACGTCTTTATCTCTGTGTTCTTTTCAAGCAGATGGGGATTTCTTGTATAATTGCTACAGAATATCAATAGTCAATCTTTTCTTGGTAATTAGCACAAGAATGACATCTGGCCTTGATATAGCCCCAAACCATAAGTCTTTTAACATTATGTGTGTTATCTTTTCAATGACATTAAAGTACTTTAATCACAGTGAACCCAAATGGAATGAGCTAACTTTACATAGAAGGAAGTTCCCTACCAACGGAAGTATTCAAAGCAAAGATCTCCCATAATGGAATTTCTGTGCTGGGAGGTTGTAGAGCTGAATTTTATGGCCACCTTCCCTTTCTAGAATTTTAAAATAAATTTTTTGACAAGTCTACTCTAGTGATATAATGGATTGCATACTGGTCTCTGTTGTATCAAGTCCTTTTCTCAGCTCACTGTTCAAATCAACCCAGAGAAGATTTCCTTCTGAGCCAGCTTGACTTAGCAAGCTATCTGATTAATTGTGGAGACCAAATTCCCATAATTATTAACTGAGCCTTGCTACTTGAAATTACCAAAATGTGCTAAAACAATGTAGTCAGCAAAATGTCACTGTATGTCTTACATATGGATCTGTTGCAGCCTGTAAAACACTGTCTCCCTGAGGGACAGCCAAAATGAAGTTACGTGGGAGTAATAAAATATGATAACTAGGCCTGCAATCTCAAGAATAAACCCAGCTGCGCATGCACACACACATCTACAAGAAAGCCTGCTGATAATAAAAGCAAAGAAAAACCCAAATCGTGCCCAGCATGTGCGTACTTCATGGCAGGGCTGGTCCAGGAACTGTCCTTTAAGCACCACAGCAAGAAACCAGGGAACTGTCCTTTTAGCACCACAGCAAGAAACCAGGGAACTGTCCTTTAAGCACCACAGCAAGAAACCCTGGTGCAAGCCCAAACACGGGCACCCAAAGCTGCACCATGAGAAAAATTTGTTAAAGCTCCTACCAAAAAATAGCATCAAGCACTGTACGGTGTTTGTTTTTAAGTATGCTATATTCTACTTCATAGTCCTTTATTAACTTAAAATAAAATCCTTTAAGTACTTTGATGAAAGTTGACAAAACCCCAAATGAAAACCAAAGGTATATTAACTCTGCCTCTCAAACTGAATTCAAGAAACCAATAATTGGCCTGCACTATCAAGAACTGCTTTGCAATCTCCACCACCAGCCCTACCAAGAAACACAGCACATTTACACATACCCTAAATCAGATGTTGAAAACATAGAACATGCTCAGAGCCCTCTCCAGGGAGAGACTCGATTTCTAGGACAGATGATGCTTGCTGAATACCAAACCATCACTACCACCCCCTCCCAAGCAATCAAATCCTCTTTCAGGGAGAACTGAAGGCCTTATGGGTCATGAGTTCCAAAGAAAAAATGCTGCAGTATTTCAAGAACCGGGTTACAGGCAACGTGCTACAAAGCTTTCAGCAATTTAAGTCTGATTCCCCCCGAGATTTCTACCAGAATGGCACCGGATGCTAATATTCTCCAGCCATTTGCATTACACATCAAAAAAAATTTTTTTTCTTTGAGGAAAAAATAAAGTCCCCCCCACCTCCATTATCTTCTAATAATGCACGTGGAGGAATGCAAAGTACAGAGAGACTGTGAAACAGTCTACCACACCCGAAATCTCCTATGGAAAGCTAAAACATCCCCCAGCCCTAACACACGGAGACGTCTCTGAAGGCTCTCCAGGTTTAAACTTGAGAAAATAGTTATAAAAAGCACTATCGCCCTTTGCTCCCAAAGCCCTCACCCACATTTCCTGCTTCCATTCCTGCTTCTCTGGTACCCACTAAATTTTCCTGGTGTGGTAGAGTTTGCTTCATGTTAATTATTTCTCCCTCTCCCTGGATTAGCCAGATGCAACGCCAAGTTTCTCCCCCTCCCCCAAACAGATGACATTCTTTTATTATGAACACCGATGCCGAGAATCTCGGAATCTCCCGATATAAAATGCATTCCCCCGTGTTTCAAAAACTGCAGTGTAAGTGAGGAAGAGGGCACAGGGTGGAGTAGTTGGATGGAACGCATGGTTTGAAGAATCGTATTTATCAAACTGAAAAATGATTCCCACCCCACCCGACCTCTAAGTCGGGGCCTCTGAATGGGTCTGAAAGCCCCAGCTAACCCCCGGAAAGTTAACTGCCAAGTCTCCACCGGTGGTTGCCGCAGGCAGAGGGGATGGAGCTGAGCTCTGAGGAAAAATGCAGAAGCTTTGCTGTCCCCCAAGTACCAAGAGAACTAGAGAGGAGGGGTCTGTGGAGCTGGGCAGTCCTGTAAGCCAAACGCTAAGAAGCCCGGGGTGCTGCTGATCCTGGTAAGGTGGGGGAGGGAAGGGAGAAAGGAGGAGAGGAACAAGCTCTGCATCGGGTGGCGTAGGGATGGGGGTGGGGGAAGGGGGATATTCTGAAAGTGATGTACTCCCTAATGCAGGAATTCTAGCCTGCCGAGGAAGGTCCCGAGGGCCCCCAACACAGCCCCAGAGCACCCTGTCAGGAGGGGGACGGACGCATCCGAGTAAAGGACAGGGGGAGTCCTGGCTGCCCTAAGAACCCAGGAGCTCCTGGCTTCTGCAGTTGGTAACGATCTGGAGCCGGATGGGGGAGAAGGATGCAGTAAGACATGGGGGAGGGGGTAGAGCTGAGGGGCTGCTGTAGGAAGATCCCGACAGCACTGCCCTTCCCAGTGCAACCCCGAGAGGGGCCCCGACTCTGTCCCGGCCCTTGGAGGTGGGGGGAGGGAGGCTGCACCACCGAAGGGGCGCCGAGGGCAGGCCAGTGTCCCCCAATGCAGCCAAGAGACGAGAAGAGCGAGGGTGTATGGGGGTGGTGGCCGGTGGTCCTTAACTCTCCTCAGGGACCCCTGGTAAACACGGTAGAAGGAAGCAAGACTTCCAAACACCTGTCCAAAACCGGGAGGACAGAAACCCAGCTCCGCGGCCCCTCGAGCCCCGCCGCGCGCTCTGCGGCAAAGCCCCCGACCGGAGATGGGCGAGCCCCGCTCCGGGGTCCCGAGGCGAGAAGGGGAAGCCGGCGGGCGAGGAGCGGCGCCGGGGCGGGGGCTCCGGGGCGACTTACGGCAGCGGCGGCGAGGGAGGCAACGACGGCCCTAGCGCGGGGCCCGGGAGGCGCGGCCGGACTGCAGAGGCGCCGAGGATGCGGCGGGCGGGACTGCGGTGGGCGCCATCTTGGAGCGCTCCCCGCGCCCGCCCCCCGCGCCGCCCGAGTCCTTGCATAATTGATGACTCGAGCCGGCCGCGCGCCGCCGCGCGCGCCCCCGCCGGCGGGGGCCCCCCGCCCGCTCCGCCCCCGCGTCGACCCCCGCCGCGCG